CCCCCCCCCCCCCCCCCCAAGCCGAAGAGGTCTACAGCTGTATACTATATTTTTACTTTAAAACAGAGTTGGAATAATCCTTTTTTATCGTGGAACGAGAGCGAACACGGAGGTATCCACACTCTACACATCCAGCCAGAGACTATGTGGGTTCCTGACACTGTACTCTATGACAAGTGAGTATGTATATATGTAACTTGGCAACCAGCACAAACAGGGATGGTACGAGCTACTTTATTTCTGCAAAATTATGGGGTTCTTGAAATTAATTTGGTGACAGAGTGCACTACTGCTCACCTCCCTTCATTCTCAATTCACCAAAATTTTCATTGCTACGCGCTGATTAAGACAACAGTCACGACAAGAAAATCGGGCCTTACACTACCGTCAATCGAATAATTGCTCGGTAGCTTTACATACTCTGATTGACGGCAGTGTTTTGCCCGACTTTCGTGTCACGACTGATGTCTCGATTAGCGCGTAGCAATGGAAACAGTGGGGTAACCGCGAGATGCGTGTCATCAGTTAGCAACATTTTCAACTTATACTTTTTCTGATTAGTGGCGATGAAGATGTTTCGCAGGCAGGATTTCTGGAGAAGTTCAAGACGTACGTCATGTTGAACAGTAATGGAACGTGCACGTGGATGGCACCAGCAACCTTCAAGAGTTCATGCGAGATGGATCTTACAAACTTTCCTTTCGACACCCAGGCGTGTGATATGACGTTCGGGTCGTGGACGTACGACAGTAGATTGATACGMATGCAACAGCTGCACGAAACACACGAACTCGCTGGTAAGGTTTTGAGTCACGCTGTTAGAGTGGTTGCCATGTTAGTTAGACTGGTTGTCATGGCTAATTAATATACGTGCTGTAAGCCATGACAACCACTCTATTGTTGGGTTTCACGGCGGCCATGTTGGAGGAACTTAACAAAAGAATTGTCAATGAATTTGTTTGTTATATCTCCAACATGGCCGCCGTGTCTTTTGTTATTTAATTCCCTTGGGAATGGTTGAAAACCATCAATCATTAATCGTCACTGTAGCGATGACAGTGGCGCACTTTATTTATAATTTTGAAACATCTTTTACAGAAAAATTCATCACCAATGGTGACTGGCGTCTACAAGAAGTGGAAATCAAAAATCGCCTAATGACCTACACGTGTTGTCCTCACCCATTCTCAGACGTAACGTACACATTCACACTAGACAGGAAGCCCAACTACCACATCCTCAATCTGGTTGTACCATGTGTTATATTAGCGTTCATTTCATTAATAAGCTTCTATCTACCACCTGACTGTGGCGAGAGGATTGGTCTTAGTATCACTGTACTTCTAGCATTGAGCGTTTATCTCTTGATTATATCTGATAAACTACCAGAGACCTCAGATTATGTACCAAGACTTGGCTTGTACTATATGTGCTTAATGGGTGAGCTAGCATTGGCCTTGGCTGCCACTGCCGTGTCTATTAAGTGTCATCACTCACGGACAAAGCCGCCAAAGATTCTCATGCGACTTATAAGACCAAAACAAGTCAAGGTAAGGTCCATATCTGTGCGTTCAGCCATCGACGAGGAATCGGAGGAAAACCACAAGAATCAATCGGCGCAGAATGGAGGCGTAGTCAAGCAGAATGAAGAGAGGAACGAGGAGGAGAATAAAGAGACGTGGTGTGAAAACTGGATGGATATCTCGCTTTGTTTGGACAGGTTTTTCTTGGTCACGTTCACAGTTTTATTTGCGGCTACAACCTTTGGAACTTTGTTTTCGCGAAATTAGGTAGAGAAAGTTGTATGTATCGCAATTATTAAACAGTACTCGATCGACTACTTGTCAGCTAGAAATGACTCCACACGATTGTATTTTCCTTTCGTCCCTCACTTCCCACACCCCTCCCCTGGGGAAATTAGACTTGCTATTAAGCGAACACGAATGACCAAGGAAAATTTAACCAATTTCGATTTTTTTCTGGGTAACATACGCCCAGTCTCCATAACAAAAAAGAATATCATTTTGATTGTCAGAGACCGTTGCATAAGCCGAAAAAAAAAAAAAAAAAAAAAAAAAAAAAAAAAAAAAAAAAAAAAAAAAAAAAAAAAAAAAAAAGAAAAAAAAAAAAGACAATTAGACATTTAAAGTGAGCACAGTGAGTATCTTTCTTGGTACGTTTGCTACTTAGACTCGAAAATAATGGAATAGAATATCTCACCACAAATCGTTAATTTTTTGCGCACTGATAGGCTATTCGTTATGACCGATCAGAGTACCGACAAATAAGCTTACGTTAATTTTTACCACGATTGTGATTTCTCTCGCTTTCTGATTGGTCTAGAGCCGGGGGAAATAGGAGGTCATGCCGATAAAGTACGTCAGCAAATCACATGCGCGCTTGAAACCGTTTTTCTTTCAAATCTTCCCCTCGTTTTTGTAGTAAAATTGTTAATTTCCGGTTGTAAAAAATCAATTTCCTAATTAGTCCACAACATTTTGACGGCTAGATGACGAAAGAGGACATACCAAGGAAAACTGAAGGCCCAAGAGGGTGGAGGTTGAAACTGTAATTCAAAGTAGTTTGGTTCACCTTTTAAATTTCAGTAGAAACACCGACAGCACTAGTACTAATTCTTCTCGGATATTCTATGCCATTATTTTCGAGGCATTTCTAAGCTGCAAACGTGGCAAGAGGGATTCTAAGTTTCAATAATCGTTATTTTTTTCGCGGCTTAAGCAACCGTCTCTGACTATCAAAATGTTATTCTTCGTTTCCATGGAGACTGGGCGTATATTACCCAAAACAAAACACGAAAATGGACTCTTTAGGACTGGAGATCGTAGAACTTTGTCTTAAGGTTGAAGGATCAAAATTTTCATAACGATTAAAGAAAACTGGAAAGACTATAAATATGAATGAGTAAAGTAATTGCGAGTAAATGAATCGAAAAGTTACTGATTTAGAAAAAGAGGACGCATAGGAAAAGGGAAAAAAATATCATTTCCACTTGGCCATTCCCGATTTTATCATGTCTTTAAGATGACCTTGGCAACGATGTTGTCCCTAGCAACGTGCTTATAAAAACATTAAAAGCATCCATTTCATTCTCAAACTGTCTTGCTATCGTAAGGACTAAACCAAACCCCATTTTTTTGGTTAAGAATATTCGACGTCATGATGAAAAGAAGAGCAAATGATCTTGGAGTATCTGGGTAAGTCCTCCGTTTTTTTCTTCCATATTACCATCTATTAGAATATTCATAGGCTAACGACACCTTTGAAAACCTTACAGGTTGTMAGAGGAAAATCTCAACGCCTACAATATAAGAAACTCGTGCGAACACCCAATGTTAACAAGGATGAGAAGTAGGTACTTCTCAAATTCCTCTTTTCGCCAAGTCAGAGAATCGGAGCAATTTGGTAGTTTTGGGCCACATTTTGTGCCTATAATAACGTACAGGGCAAGCCAAAGCTATGACTGTGCTACAGTAACAAACAGACAAGAATATCGAGACCCTAACAAGAGTCGTATTACAACTACAATTATTCCTACTCCGACTCAAAGCTCTTCCAGACATTTTTTTCCTAAGACTGTCAGTGCTGTACAAAGTGGGTGTTGCTCCAGTTATCGTTCAATTCAACATGAAGACGGCTTTTCTCCGAGTAACAAGACCACAAAAATCTTCGTTTTTGAATCGAGATGCGAAGACACTAACGATGACTCTCAAGTTCTAAACTCAGAGGGAAATACCTCCGAAATAATGTCTTTCGCTCATTCTACGACCGCCTCGGACCCTTGTTCTACGTTTCAAGGTCGAGTGAAATCAAGGAGAATGGCGACATGTGAAGAAATAGATAAACTGTTGGCGCCAGTTAAAGTGAACGGAATGAAAATGAGCATCAATGAAATGAGACGGGATCTCATCCAGTTTCATTTTAAGAGAGAATCCTTTTCGTATTCAAGCGGTGAGCGCTAAAAACTATTTTCTTGAAGAAAGGCTGTTGTACAAGGCTAAACTCTTGTTATTCAGAAAGTTTAACTGACTTGTTTGGAAGTGGAGATGAGCGACGAAAGTGGTATCAAAGTGTAAACCCAAAGCAAAAATTTTATTCCAAAATGAGGTTCAGGCCTTCATTTGTTTATTTCCAATACATTTTCTATAAAAAAAGTCTTGACAAAGCTACATTCTAGCGCAAATGCAACAAAATATCTTTGCACAATTGAAAATACCGCTTCACACAGGCATTTTATCATAGTAGTACATCAGTTTCTAACCGTTAAAAAAAGGTTTTGAGTGTTAACCCAAAACGAAAATTGGGATCAAAACTCATACAAAGTCTAGTTTTTGGCGCTCTTTGCCATTATTGCTCGTTATTGAAAAAAATTTCCTTTTAAAAAGAAAACATTGTAATTGCATGCACCCAAATCTCAAGTTTTAATGATTTAGTTTTTTCTATTTTTTAAAGACCAATTAGGAAGGAATCTTTATAGTTCTGGCTCTCCCAGTTAGTTACCGTTGCTTTAACAAAGTAAGCTAGTTTTTAAAACACTCGAATTTCTCAGTTTCGAATTCTCAGTCGTACACGGTTAGCTTTCGATTTGGTGCGCGGAATTTCAAAGTGTTTGTATCGTTGAAGTTGTGCATTTACTTTATCGTTGGTATTTGTGAATATTAGGACACTGACATAAGTCTAACCCTGAGTGAATGAGTCTGTAACCAAGGAACACAGCGGCATTTGCAAAAAAGGTATATTTTAAAAGTCTGATAACAGAAAATTTATTGTTAATTGTTTACTGTCCTGTGTAAATAAAAAAAGATTGCCACTTAATCGTTGTAGTACTCTTTAAAACAAATACTTTGCATACCACTGCTGCACTGCCTGATCGGTTCGCTATACTTGGGGTGCAAGTTACGTCATAGCCGCCATGTTGATTGACTATACAAAGCATTCCTCATTAGCTTCTTTTGTCAGATGAACCAACATGGCGGTTGTTTCATTGTTATTTACATCTGAAGGGATTTTTCGATGACCTAACTTTATTCACAGGGTTGAATACAATCTGCCGTCGAGGTTGTTCGTTAACGGGTGATGTAAGACCCATCGGTCATCAACTATGGTAGATTGACAAGGATATACAAAAAGTGACCGCTTAATTAAACAGATAACCTCTATAAAGCGGCCATCAATAAAGCGTCCAACCTCTATAAAGCGGCCATCAATNCGTCCAACCTCTATAAAGCGGCCATCAATGAAGCGTCCAACCTCTATAAAGCGGCCATCAATAAAGCGTCCAACCTCTATAAAGCGGCCATCAATTAAGCGTCCAACCTCTATAAATTGTCCAGCCTTTACAAAGCAATCACCTCTCTCAAGTGGTCAATCTCTGCAAAGCGGCCAACCTCTATAATGCGGCCACTTGACAATTCCGAAGTTGCCGCACGAGTGACGTAATAGCTATTACATACCAAGTACAGCTTTTACATTCTGTATATCCCAGAGATTCGTCGCTGCTCAGCAGATGAAAACGCTGAAGCTCGAAGACTCATACCAAGAAACTATAAAATAATATATACATAATATATTAATAATAATAATATATCATGAACATAACATAGACATAAGACTGCGCGGTTCGAAGGCACAAAGGTTTAAAGGTGGCGCATAACTTTTTTTCCCGGGGGGAGGGGAGAGGGGAACTTGTACTAAATTTTCACTACTTTTGAATATAAGAAATTAATTTTATATTTGTAAGTATTTTAGCATTTATAGTGAGTTTGACCAAGAAAATTCATCGTAACCTTGAATGAAAATGCGGACGATTCTGCATCTGATTTACAGACTTCTCCTGAGTGACTGATTTCAATATTGTTATTTTAATTTTTGATATACTTTCGTTAGGAATGGATTTTTGATTGGGGGGATCTCCCAAAACATATCGAGCAAGGTATTTTTAAAGCGTGGCCAATTCCTGACGCAGTTGATCGGGCAGTTAATTGTCAGTTCGCATGGTAGTTTCTGGTCAGGGATACTTCTAATCTGCCCTCTTACCTTTCTGGTGTCTTGTGGTAAGATTACTCCATCATCCCAGAGTCTGCTCGAGCCATAATAGACATTAGACTCGGATTGGAACCTAGGGACAAAATTTTGTTTCAATACAACGTTTTCCTTTATGACTCTATAACTTGTTAATGAGCTTTTTCTTGGTAATAAAATTGAATCTTGAAAAACAACAAATATAACTTCTACAATTTGTGTTTAACGTCTTTAAATTTTTGACCTCTGGTACCCACAGTAATGTGACCCCTTCGTGACCCCCGCCTTTTCGACTCATCCCCAGGCTCCATATCTCCATTCTCGTACCCAGGCCCTTATCAGCGAGAGATCGATTTTTAGTTAGAAAGCTGAGATAGGTCTGAGTACATGAATGGCTTATCTCATAAAGAGGAAAGGGYCCTAACATCACTTGTACTGATGTATTTTTTGGTAACCATCTCCCCAATGAAATTCCATTCTCCTCCTTAACTCATGACAAGGAAAGGTCCATGCAACATATATGTAACCACTTACTTTGTTCTTGCCTCTTTGTTCACATCGTCACCTTCTCCTGCTGACTCAGCGTACTATAAAAAAGGCATTTTATTTATTACACGTGTTTATAAATCACGATATAAACATGAAGAATGATTCTTAATGCTTAATTATTGATCCATAAGTTCATCTCTCATTTGAATAACTATTTGTCAAATTATGTCCTTGTTATAAAATATGGATGTCATGAATTTCTTTTCTTTCTAACGAAACTGTTCCCTTTTTTTCCTTTTAGGGCATTAATTAACTATGTCCATAACATAAAATGATGGTGATGAATAATTGATGCATGATGATGATTTTGTGATGATGATGATGACAATGATGTGATGATGGTGTCATGGCGGTGATGATGATGATGGTTGATGATGGTGAAGATAATGATGATGATGATGGTGGTGGTGATGATGAGGACAATGATGTGATGATGGTGATGATGATGACAATCGTGGTGATGATGATGATGTTAATAATGGTGATGATAGTGATGATGACGACAATGGTGGTGATGACAATCATGATGATAATAGTTGATGGTGATGATGGTGATGATGGTGATGATGATCATGGTTTTTTATCTTGACAGTGATGGATTCATCTTCATGATGATGATGATGACGATGATGATGATAATGATCAATTTAAAAAAAGGAAAATCATTAACTCTACCTGAGACTTGTACTTCAGTACAAGATTATCAACTGTATCCATGGCAACCTTAGCTGAAGGCCAAGTATACAGGAAGCTAGGATCAAATGACCGCCCACACTGCAAAATGACATTTTGAGAAAATTAAATCTGTAATAGATGGACTAGCTTAATTCCAATCCAGGGTTGCAGCAAGGGTACTGCTAATTGTTGTGCTACCAAATATAAAACTAAGTGCAAGCACCAAGGCATCCCATGACTGAACCATCTTTAACCAAGAAAATATGAAGCAGAATTGCTTGATTAACGTAGTCTATCACCACTTATGCTATCAAAACAGTGCTATGTGGACTAGTATTTAACTTACCATAGCATAGGATTCTGGTCCATAACTACCTCCGACAATAACTGTTATCTTAGGCACCTAGACATTAAATAAAATAGGGTAATATATTAGCAGCTTCAACCCTATAAGTAACTAAATAACACAAGGGAGTGATCTGTACGCAAGCTGGAGGCAAAACATTGCGCTCCCCAGACAGATTGAACATAATTTTTGCATATTATGACTGATCAAATGTCTAGCAATATACATACTACAGTAATTTTGCATTTTTTTCCTAACATTTTAAAGATTGAAGTGGTTTTTTTATCGTGATCCATTTAAACTAAAAGTTGAATGCAAATGAAGACAATTCTGTGTCCAATCCAAACATTTCTCTTAGTAAATTATAACCATTAATTGAGTGTTTTCAAAACAATTTCTATACCACACCATGGAGGAACTTCCAAAAAGGTGCCCCCCCTCCCCCATGGGGACCAATTCCCTTTATTGTTGGGTATAGATTTTCTGGAACTACACAATATTCATAATTTAATAACAATAATTTTAGTAAATTAGCAATGAAATAATATTAGTTCCAAACTAACCTGAGCACAAGCAACAGCATGCATCATTTTGGCCTGGTCCTTTATCAGTTCACCCATTTTAGCCCCATCTGAAGATGGACCTTCTTGGATGATGTTTTGGAGAAACACAATAGGGATGCTTCTCTGACAACACAGGTCTATAAAGTGGGCTCCCTGTGGAATTTCATTTTCAGAAGGAATATTGTTGTAGAACTATTACGGAAATCTTTAGTCTTTATTATTTTTGTCCATAGATCTTGCACATAGCAGAGAATATAATGTTTATTACCTTTAGGGCTGCATGTGATGTCATTGGTCCATTATTTGCAACAATGCCGACCATAAATCTGGAATAAATTAGGTTAGTGTAATAATTCATGAAGGCTTTAAATTTTGAAATAATATTTTTGACCCCACCTACCTCCCAACCCCCCCCCCCCTACTCAAACAGAACCTAATTTCAGTGACCTCCAAACTACCAAACTAAATATCAAAAATATTTTTGATACCCCCTCCCCCCCAAAAAACTAAAAGAACTATTACCAGAGAAAATGACTACTGCCCTTCAAATCCCCAGTTTTATTGCAATACATAAAGTTATAATATGTATTTTTATAGTAAATAAATTATATAATTATACAGCTTCTCATTAATCCCATATAGGGAACTGTCCAATTATTTTCTTAATTGGACAGGTCTTGTTGATATGGGATTAATTAGGCAGCTATATAGTTAATAGGTAATGGGATTTCATGCTCCCCAATCAAGAAATAATTAGACTTGAAAAATTCCTCTGACTGCCAAATTGGACTCGGCCTATGGCCTCATCCAATTTTGTCAGTCCTCGGAATTTTCCTCGTCCAATTATTTCTTAATTGGACAGCATGGAGTCCTATTACATATACTAATTTACCCTTCAATGTGTGCAAATCCAGTAATAAGCTGAACACCAAATTCTTTCTTAAATTCTTGCAAACGACTGCCATCAACAATGCGGGCAATTACCTGTCACACACAAAATTTAAAATTAACTAAGTTGCTTGAAACATATGACTTAGATGTTATGTTAATATATAATGGGTAGACTGTGGACTTGGTACAGACAGTACTAAGTTTAAAAGGTTTGGGTCACTGGTTTGAGCCCCTTGGTCGCCACATGTGAATTGAGTTTCTTTGATGTGTTGTTCTCTTCTATGCTATGAAGGTTTTCTCTACTTTAGGTTCTCCGGTTTCCTCACTCTGTAAAAATCAACATGTAAGTTGAGCGTTGTGTGCATTAAGAATATTGAATGTACTGTAGTCAGTGGTAGTGTACAGTGTGAGTAAATAAGTGTCCCCAATTAGTGTGAAAGCACTAGACAATTAAATAAAGGGATTTTTGTTGTGTGGACAAAGATACCTGATACATTGGTAAGTCCTGGCCATCAAACATTGATAGACCAATCAGATCATCTGTTTTAAACAATGGTGGCTCAATTGGTCCTAAAGAACAATAACAATAATCTACTGACTGTAAAATAGAGACTTTATTCATAGTGGTGTAATGTTTTCCCAAAACAGACCAGTCGTGTCATTCCCTCGAGTATCATTTCTTTGTTTAACAGTTGCACATGAGAAGACACACATCTATAAATGTGGATACAACTCAAACAATCTTATTCTCTGGGGAATGACACATGCTCTGTAATGGGAAAACATTGCACCACAATGAATACGATGTATAGACCAATTGTAGCACTTTGGATTGCAGCTCAATCTGGGGACCGGAAAACAATGGGTTCCAATTCTCAGGAGATTGGAATTCTTTTGTTTTGTCCCCCAGATCAAGCTGATTTGACGTCACATGCAAGAGGCCTAATAAATTGCTGGAGGTATAGTATTGTACAGCAGCCCTAAATTGTATCTATAGACCGATTGTAACACTTTGGATTGCAACTCAATCTAGAAGACAAAACAATAGGTTCCAATTCTCAGGAGATTAGAATTCTTTTGTTTTGTCCCCCAAATCGAGCTGCTTTGATGTCACATGCAAGGGGTCTATTAATTTGCTAGGGGTATAGTATTGTACAGCAGCCCCTAAATTTAAACTTCTAAACTAAACAAACTATAATTATTATTCTGATCCCAACCTTTGGCAGGACTTGAACCACTTTGATTAAAAGTAGAAACAATTTGTTTCGATTTGTCAATAGCTTCTTCTTCATTCACAGCAAAATAATCTGTACAGCCACTTATGCTAAAAAATAAAGATTACATTACAAGGACATTGAATAAAAGCACTAATAAAAATAAATTTAAGCTACACTGGACACTTAGGCCTAGGTCAAATGTCAAACTTTCCATGCACCGAACTTAATTACATCAAAGAATGCCGCCTCATTATCACCTGACATCCATTGTTTTTAATGAGTTCGGTGCTTGGAAAGTTCGACGTTTGCCCTAGGCCTTACAGTGGTTTTCATTAACCAGTGAAGCAAAGTGTACTTAAATTAGAGTGTAACAGTCACAAAAGACAATAGAAAGCAAAAGAGTTATCATGAGGTAGTGCTTAATACGCTAAAGTGTATTTCATGGGTTAATGAAAACCACTACTTGTCATTTATATTATCTAAAATATCATTAATAAATCATGTTTATTATATAATTACCAATGAAATATCTATTTTTCTCTATTTCGAAAAATTGACATCTTCACACGTGAAAATAACATGTTATTTTCACACATTGCGATGGCTATTCAAAAATACATGGAAAGAATTGCCTGAAAAAACCAAAACATACTTCATTGATAATTATATAATAAACAGAATATTACATGGCCGCTTGGAGATAGGAACTTTATCTTCTTGTGTTGAAAATCTCTTCAACACTCAAAGATAAAATTCGTATCTCCATGCGCCCATGTAATATCCTCTATGTATTACCTAGAGTGCAACATTGCACCACCAAGATCCTCAGCTGAGACAATTTCTCCAGTTGCAGCCTATTAACACAAAATATTGTTAATAATAACATTAAATAAAAAAATAAAAAAAGCAATGAAATACAATCCAGAACAAAAGTAGCCCATTTTATAAGTGTATCTTTACCTATATGGAAAGCAAAACCCAGATGGCTGAAAGTTTCTGAGGCCATACAAGTATACTGCACACATTGTAGAAACAGCTCTAAAAAGAGCAATAAATGTGAATGCTAAATTAATGATTGCTAATATTCACTTGTCATTTACCTTGACCAATGGGGGACCGCCCAGGAATATTGTCCCAATTTTATCAACGATCACTGCTTCTTCTGCCATTGTTGGTACATATGCAGCCCCCGCTGTACAGGACCCACACACAATACAAATCTGGAAAACAAGCAAATGCAAGCAGCATTACTTATTTTACCAATGCAATCCTGATAGCTTGCTATATATTCAAACCACATTTATACTCATCAATTTGTTATGAAAATTATCCATTATTCATACATACCACAGGAATCCCATTAGCAGACATGACAGCCTCGTTGTAAAACACTCTACCTCCTGTTTCTGGGAAAATTTCAGCCTAACAAAGAATAGAAACATAAAACTTCATAATTTAATGTTCAATTAATTCTAATAAATTTTAAATTTTCCTTTTTAATCCTATCCCTGGCATGTGACACTTTCATAGTATGGAATAGAGGCTTTGCTACCATCACAGAAGACAACTGCTGGCCAATGATCGTCAATGGCTGCTGGGCAATGGCAACACTTTACTAACACTTTGTTAATGTACTATTGTACTTTGACGATACAGCGGCCATCTTGGATCTCAAGGCATTATGGATCGTCCAGGGGGCAAAATATAAGGCTTTGTTACAGTGATGACGTCGATTGATATTAATAGCTCACCACAAGAGAATGCAACAAAAAATGAGTTAAGACGGTTCATTGATCACCTTTACTCACTAAAAAGATGAACTCTCAAAACTCAATATATTTTCTGCCATCTTTGTTTCATTTTGTCCCCTGCCAAGATGGCTGCCGCATTGTTGAAGTAGTCCATAAACAGTTACCAATGCTTCACCAACACCTATGGAAGTCTCACTTCTAGTGATCAGCCAGGGTCAGCAGGCACTTCCTGTGGCAATGCTACACCCCTTGGTCTTCCCACCTTCAGCTAATTTTAACTAATGTACTTTATTTACCTGAAGTGGTAAAAATGCTCCACCAGAATCAATAAGAAAAACCAAAGGCAGTCTATTCTTCTCTGCAATCTCCTGTGCCCTCAATTGCTTCTTGACTCCGATAGGAAACAGAGTCCCTCCCTTAACAGTAGCATCATTAGCTACTATCATGCACTGCTGTCCAGATACAGTACCAATACCAGTCACAAGTCCAGCACTTGCTACTGTGCCATACTCTAAATCCAGCCCAGCAAGAGGCGAAAGTTCAAGAAAATCTGTGTTCTTATCTAATAATTTACTAATTCTGTCTCTAGCTAATAGTTTTTTGTTCCGTATAGTATGTCTCTGGCGCGCATTTTCGCCTCCACCTGAATAAGTTGTTTGTAAAAGTTTTTGATAATGAGTTTGTAACTCTAGTCCTTTCTCATTTTTGGTTTTCAACAGTTCTGAGGATACATCAACTCGTCCATCAATGGTAGGAAACTTCGCTTGTGCTGAATGATGCCTTTTGAACTTAAAGCTCGTAGTCCTTCTCAAAAACGTGAAGGGATTCAAAAGTCTGATACCAAACCTTTGTAAATTCATGCTTCAGTTTTGCTTAACAAATAAAATACGAATCAACGTCACCCGTGAAAATTAAGACGTACCAAAGACTTCTAGTATATTCATGATGTCTCGAAGTATAATTTTTTTATAACTCATTCAAAGAAAACCGCCATTTTGTTTAATGAAGTGAGCCAGCAGTGACACCATCCAGCGTTATACCTATTAGTGCCAATCTTCCTTTAGATCTCAACATTTTCAAGATGGCGTCCAAGTTTGAAGAAGAAGATTTTGATATGGAGAGCTCAGAAAGCGAAGATTCTGACGCCGAGGTGAGTACGATTAGCGATATTTAGCAAACACTGGGTTTATGGGATCTATATTTTTTATTTTGTTGATTATTTTAGCTCCAGAGAGCCTTTGCCAGAGGAGATTTGAAGGTTGGTATGAACAAACCAAAATTCGTTCCACGTGCGCAGAGAGAAAGCATCAACAACGCGGTGAGTGTCTGCTGTTTGTCGTCGTTTTTCATATTTAATTTATTTTTTCTATGCCTGCATTTTGGATATAAAGGAGGTGCTATAAAATCATATGATGATTATAACATGTAAACCTATTAAACCTCTTAGGCTGGTATCAAGCAAAAATTGGAACAGATTACACAGAATTTAGAATGGATCGAGAGAATGGATGTAACATACAAACCAAAAGAAGAAGAAGCAGAAAATGAAGAAAATAACAATGAAGACACATCTGTTCACGATGACTTTAAGAGAGAAATGAATTTGTAAGATATYGTTTTGCTTGTTGGGTTACCTGTGGTATACCCGAGGTCTGCAGTGTCCAGGGCCAGCCAGAGGGTTGCTAAGATACCAATAGACCAGATTTCCTGCTTCTAGTACCTGTATCTCTAAGAGTTTTCTTCTTTGGTTTTTAATTTAGTTATAAACAAGCACAGCAAGCTGTCTTAATTGCAATCCCAAAGCTCCAGAAACTTGGTATTCGAACCAAACGACCAGGAGACTACTTTGCTGAAATGGTCAAGACAGACGATCACATGCAAAGGGTATGAAAGCCGTAACATAGGGTTGCCATTAATGATTAAGACAACTTTTTGATCTGCACTCTGTTACTGTGCGGATACTCCAACCAGAACCACTTTGATTAACTAGTATCATTAACCAATCATGTTGCGACATTTAGTTCAATATTTTTTAACTAGCATCAATATAATAAGAGCGAGAGAGCTTAGTAATCTGATTGGATAACTCTGTTATCAGTTCAGTCTCTGTCTAGTTTACTGTTATCTGATTGGTYAGTTTTATTCAAGTRGTCCCGGTTAGTGTGTCCGCACAGTAAGTAATACAGCACACAAGAAGTGACACAAGCACAAAAGACGTTAGCACAATAGACAAAAAAGCTGTTTTGTGTTATTACATAGGAAGAAAAAAAATGGTTGCAGTTTTCAATGCTGCTTTCATATTCTCCTTTGCAAAATTTGCTGGGAAAGCGAACAGCATCAGCAATCATACTCTTTTCACTAATAAAGAACAGTTCTTGACCAATCAAAGCGTGTGTTTAATATAATCTATATAATAAATTCCAATAAGAATTTTTTTTCTCAATACTAACTGATTTTGCTTCTAGGTGAGGTCAAAATTGTTAAGTCAACAACAAGTCATGGAAAGATCTGAAAAAATGAAGAAGCTGAGAGAGATGAAAAAGTTTGGAAAAAAGGTATTAATGGAATCGTTTTATAAATTACTGTTTATCCTTATGGTAAAGCTGTGCGTTGGAATTTTTTTAAAGAAGCCAAAATAAATTAGATTCAGATTTTACAAATGTACATTAACAATGTGTTGTCTACGATTTTTACCATTTTAGGTACAACACRATGTGTTACAGAAAAGACAGAAAGAAAAGAAGGAAATGATAGAATCTGTCAAGAAATACAGGAAAGGTATGACCTTTTGCTTCAGTAAAAATACTTTTTACAGTTCCCTTTAGTGACCATGAATAATAGTTCCAATAATAGTTAAGGCTGGAGTTTCTGCGCATAGCAAAACTATACTTTTTATCATGCGTGGCAACTCCAACCTTGGTGTGACCACTGAATGGAACTGTAAAATGGAGTATTGTCAAAGGACGAATTTTACTGTCACAAAACAGTGTTTTTGAATCATGGAGAATTGATTTTAGTCTAAACTTACTAATGGTCAATCACAAATCCTGTGCTCTGATTGGCTGAGCTACTAGTGGTCTGTTAGTGATAGACCTCTAGTAGCAAAAAATGTTGGTTTTGAAAATCAAAACAATTAAGGGTAACCTGCATTTTCAATGTAATTTCAAAACTCTTTGTATCCATTTAATGAAAAGATTAGTCGGTTTAGACTGAAAGAATTAGACCTCTTGCCCTCATGTTCTATCGTGCAAGTCAATAGGCCATTTAGACTTGGGTTTAATTGTTAACTCATTATATTTCAGGTAAACAAGCAGCTCTGTCCTTCATGAAGGACGATGATTTCGATATTCAAACTGAAAYAGACAAGACAAAAAGTAAACCATTAACGTAAGTACTGTACTCCTGAGATGTTTCAAAACAAGCTTTGAATTTAATCTGGGTTCTTCAATTCATGGGCAGTTCCAGGAAGTTCAGAAAGAAAAGAAAGAAAACAATGAACATAAAACACCACATTGTTACCTTGCATTTTTTATTGAGAGTTTTTTTTTTTTTTTTTCTTGATTAGGAAATCAAATAAAAGAAAAGCTAAGGATAAGAAGTTTGGACACGGTGGAAAAAAGAGAGGAATAAGAAAAAATACCAAGAAGAGTTCGAAAGATGTCAGCTCATTTGATTCAAGAAAACACAGTAAAAGTCCAAAGGCTGGAGCTCAAGCAGGGGTTAGTGTCTACAATTGTATTATATTACAGTATTTGACAAAAAATATAGGTTTTTTGTCGGTGTTTGTCTCTGTTTTTTGTTTTTTTTTGTTTTTGTTTTTGTTTGCCTGTCTGCTCGTTTGTTTGACATCACTAACCGAAATCATCGAGGCTGTCGTTCTCTTGACCTATGTGCAAACGACTAAAAAAGAGTGTACATAACTCTCTTGTTAACAATAATTTTTGCTTCGTAGTAACGCGAATGACATCATCAAATTAGAACTCAGTGTAAACTATTTCAACCAAGGAATATGTGCTCAATGTAAAATGTGTTTTACTTTTCCAGAAAAAAAGAAAAGCACAACGACCAGGCAAATCACGAAGAAAAAAGATGAAGAAATAGCTTACCACTCCTTACAACAAATAAACACTTTTTCGCCAACAACTTTTTATCCTATTCCATTTGCAAAAAAAATATTAGTTGAGTAAAAATGTTCATCGTCTCGTGAAAAGAAGATTCTGACTCGTTCGAAGCTAGTCTTGCAAGTAGCCGCATTCATAACTGATTCAAAAGTGGATGGAATTGAAGAKTACTCATTATGTCCTCGTCTAACTGCCGGATGCAGAGATAACCAATCAGCACCGGAGAAACCTAAACATCAACTTAGATAAATTTAGCTAGGAGGTCCGATGGAGTGTCATGCTGCTACTCTAACTGGCAACGATGTTAATGGTTAATGAACTTAATCCACCCCCTAAGACTAAAGTCAAACTTCAAACGTCAAAGAAGACCGCCTCGTATTCATTGTTTCAATTAGGTTGAAGTTGGACGTCTGACCTGAGCCTAACTAGCCTTCTACGCAGACTTTCTAAGAGCGTCTGCGTAGGAGAGTACCCCCTAACTAGCCGAAGGATTTCCTATTTCAGACTCGCAGAGTTATTTCTATTTTCTCGCAAACTTGAGAGGATATAAATAGATAGGATGATAATTACGAAAATGGAGAACCTTATTTTCAAGGGAATGGCGGCGCATGTACTTTAATGGGAAAACCCAAAGATTGAGCCCGTCAAAGATGATTTTAATAATTCTTTATTGTTAGCGGCAAACGTATTAAAGTAAACCAGGTCAACCAATCAAAAAACAACAGTTAATTAGTATATGTATCTTAACCACTCTCGCGCACCCAAACAAAAAATTTGTTCAAGCATGTTAAAGCATTAAAATCATTAGAATTCACGACTGCGAAATCTTAAGACATAATCTCTTTGGCAAAACAAGACAAAACAATAGGCCGTCTTTTCTGCAAAAAACATCCATTGTTTTCCCGTCCCGCCAAAACAATTTTCTCGGGACTCAGTGCAAGGGGTCTATGGAGGTTTTGCACCATCACGTGACGGCAGCCATGTTAGATGGCAGGAACAATACAATGTTTTACATAAGAAAGAATTCAATTCCCGAGAGCAAAGGGATTTTATTGCTCTGCCATTTAACCACAGGCAGCCCAAGCAGTATTATGGGCGTGGGCACGTTATGTTGCAAAACCTCTATTGACATCAAAAGCATTAGAAATAATAAATAATAAAATACATAGATCTAGAACTAGAAGGATCGAGTATCACGCTGCTACTCTAACTGGCAAGATTAATGATTAATGGACTCAATCTATTCCCTAACAAGCCATGCCAAATAATTTCCAATTTCAGACTCAAATTATAATTAATTAAGGACTCTATGTCAATATGGGAGACCCAAGAGCGTGCCGCCGAAATTTATAAGAAAGGTGAGACAGATTTAGGTTCGCGAGAGGCTCTGGTTGTTGGCGAGGTGATGATAAAAGGTACGTTTTAAAGTCAATTATAGAATATGGTTATGTTAGCCAAACTGAAAACGAAAGGCGAACTTTTCATCCAGAAAAAGTGTGATTTCTATAGAAAATTCCCGTTAGCCTCACATCCAAAACTTGCCTTCGGCTCCCATCTTCATATGCCAATAGAAAACGGTGACTACTTTTGTGAAAAATTCTTTACATTGGTTCAAAAAGTAAGCATAATAGATCTAAGTATAGCAAGAGAATATGAAGTAGTTCTAATGGGAAAAGGGACTACATTAACAGGACTACGTTGACTATCTTTTTGCAATGCTTTCACTCATGCGATCATTTGTTCACGTTTAAAAGTTTTCTTCTTATTCACTTTTAATCGATAGACCAAATTATTGTGTAAAATCTTTCTAGCTCTGAAGAAAGAAGCGTCCTAGGTAGCTCGAAGCTCTGATATTTGAATGTATATTACTTTCTATTTGGTGGTCTAACAGCTAATCTTTACATTATAGCGTTTAAAAAACACTTAAAAAACTAACAGTGTGTAATAAAAACCATCCCCTGAAATTTTGTTGGTAGTAAAATTGTATAATTTTCGCTTATTTTTTTAACTTTTTTAATCTGACGCATTTGAAGCTTCAAAATATATATTTATTCCTATAATTTAAGAAAGTTATGAAAAGTCTGATCTTGTTTTGAATAATTAAGTGAGACGAAACTTCACAAAACAGGATGATTGAAAAGGCAAAAGTTATTGTTGATTCATAAAGAAACAAACATTTCAGTAATTTTCTTCTTTTGGTCTAATTTTACAGTTCATTGTCTCTTGCGATACTTTATCCGACTGTGAGAAGTGAGACCGTGTTTATTTATTCAAAAGTGCTTTGAATAATTGAGTGAGGTGAAATTTTACAAAACCAGATGGTCGATTGAAACGGCAAAAGTTATTGATTCCCAAAAGATCACTGAAATAGTCCAGTAATTTCCCGACGTATTTGATTTTCGATCAATCAACTTTCAAATATAATTTTGAAATCCGCCATATATTTGCAATACTCGAACTGTATAGACGAAAACAATTCAGCCTTCTTCACTGTTCCTGGGTTTGCTTTGGTTTCACGACTGATCTGCACAACTTTCTTCAAAGTGGATGTTGGAAAGAAAGGAGGATACAGGTATGGCATTTCCCATGTGCCATTTCGGTCTCAGCTTTTATGTTCTATGTTTCTGAACCCGACAACGATTATTCAATTAAGTGTACACGCCTATGATATCTTTGATATATAGCCGCTACTGACTGGATTTCTCTGTTTCAGTTCTAGATAGTTTTAGACATTACCATGTGGTTCAACCTGCTTTACCTGTTTTTCCTCTCGACTATTGCCATGACAATCGTTTCTTCCAACGAGTTTTGTCCTGCTGGTTTTGCGCCCTTTCACCGTGACCATGGTTACGCATTGGTTGGTCACGTGATAAGAACTCTCTATCTGTTCTTACCAGACTGCATGACGGCGTGTGAGGAAACCTTGATATGTTTTTCAATCAACGTTTATAAAAATCAAAATAGCGGGAACGTGTGTGAGTTGAATCAGTCGAACGAGAAGCAAAAACCCGAATCTTTTGTGCGCATGGAAGGATATCAGTACGCTGAATCACAGGTGAGACATGTTTTGCTTAGATGAGGTGTGCCCTTAAAGTGCACATGAACCCTTGGACAATACATTCAGTACTGGTTCTGCATAAAGTAAATAGTTGATTGGTAAAATATTTCTTGATTTGAGTGATGCGTCAGGTAAGGTATTTGAGTGTTTTTTTTGTAACTATGCTGGCCATATTGAAAATGAAAATAAAAAAGGACTGTTTCGCCGATCGGCAAGTATATGATTTAAAACCAGTTTGTTTTGATCTTATCACCAGAAAAAAAGGTTTTGTGTACAGAAAGATTGTCCAGAAAAGGATGGTGAGTGGTTGCACTTGCCACGAAGCTTGTCAAAGAACGTTTATATTATATTATATACCTTTTATTCACTACTGGATAAATATTTTAAATATACAATTATCAATGAAATATCTATTTTTCATTATTGCTAAGAAGTGTTATTTTCAAATGTGAAGATATTATATTATATTGATGGTCAATTTAAGGGAATTCGCCAATTCGAAAAACGCGGCCATTAAAAAAAAATTATTTTTTTTAGCCTTGCCGGATGATTGGTTCTACTTCAATTCGTCGTATTTAAAGCTCTTCAATGATAAAAGACCCTGGCACGATGCAAGACAGTACTGTCAGAACCTTGGTGGGGACTTGGCCTCCATTGCAAGCGTGACGGAGGAAGAGTTTTTACAGAAGTTGATGGTCCTTGAAAAACGAAGCTGTACGTAGATATACCTCTTACCGCAATCCCAATCACTAGGGCGAAATCGTACAGTTTTTGGTGGACGTCAATCAAGGCATTTTCATAACATTCCATTGACACGTGCTCTTGAAAACTTTGTATTTTCCAACATTGTCATGGAAACACTTTGATTGACGTCAAGCAAAACCTTGACGTGACAGACRGAAAAGTACGATTTCGCGCGCGTGTGATTGGAAAACGTAAGCTGTAATCATACAATGTAATCTAGTCAATCACTTTCTAATGATAAAAGGTTTGTGTGGCATAATAAAGCCTATTTTGGCAGATTTATATAACACAGGGAGTCTAACGTTTACATTCTTTTCCTCAATCGGTTTTTACAGATTTACTTAAGAGACTGATCGTAGATTTGGATACACCTTCCTCAATGTTAAGGTAATAAAAGTCGCTGAAATTGTCTTGATTAAAGCACTCATTGTTGTATGTATACAGTTTATCTCTTACCCAGAGCCCGCGTTCCTCTTGGTCAGTACCGAGAAATGAAAGGCGCTGACCAAGAGGAACGCGGGCTCTGGGTACGAAATTTTATCGTATTCAAGTTATTGTGTCAGTTTCAAGGTTGCCATGGCAACTCAGCGGTTTTCTTGGCATATATGCATGCTCAAGGACTCGAAAAGAAAAAAGCTATAGGTTGTGTTGGCATTGCAGTGCATTGTGGGAGTTTTGGGGGACGAAATAGACATGCCAACACGACCCAGTTTTTTCCGCGATCCCGGAATGACTAATTAATCATATAGATATCAACCAATCAAAAAAGATATTGAAGTGTTTTATATTTTTGAATTGATATTTCAAAGCCTTTTTAATGGAGCCAGCCTAGTTACTCTAGATGGCAAGCCTTCTTTGTCCCTGGATGGAGTGGATGACTATGCTACCACACGTGGTTTTTCCACGCACAAAAGCTCATTAACATTGGCCGTGTGGATTAAAACCCCAAACCCAGAGAGGACCATGTATATCTTTAGTGATTATAAAGACGCCCTGAACGCTGCCTTCAGGCTTTACATCGAAGGGAAGAAGTTTGTTAGTGAAATCTACACTGCGAAAAAGAACGTGCTACGTTATGTTAGCGTGGGGTGAGTGGAATGAAAACTTCTCGGGTGCTCCCCTCCCCCCTCGGGCACTCCCCTCCCCATCCCCTGTTGGTAATTCTCTCTCCTTAGCAAAACCTCTTGTCAGGGGTGGAAGCTGGTAGAGATTGAACTGCGATTACACGAACAATGACAAGTATCCATTCTATCCCCGTGGGCAATTTATTCTCGACCCTCAGGGGGTAGGTATTATGCACATTGAAGGCGATAATGGCAATAATGGTATCTATAATTAATCCACTTGATCAACATCTGATTACAGTTCCATTCCTGCTAATACCTGGCTACACATCGCGTTCACATGGAATCGCTACTCACGAATTGGGATGTTCTACTTCAATGGGACGCTTGAATCAAAATCGCAACAAACGGCGCCTGATTCCACACAAAAAATTTTTGTTACTGGGAATCCCACATTTTTCATTGGTCAAGACAGTGCTGGGCAAAACCGTTTTACGGGATGGATTAGATCTCTTGTTGTGATTTCTTTTGATCTTACTGGAGATGAAATTTATGAAGTTCGAGGTACGAACGAGTCAACAATTATAGGCAGACACAGGAAGCCCATTCTGGAAAACGTTACGCTCAAATTCAAATGACTTATGATAGATTAGATTCCCGGTCGTGATTTTCTCTAAGAAACAAGTACCCCTTTCTACGATGGCGTCATTAAAAATTTCCTTTGCTTACGTAATTACCACCAATTGTTTTAGAGAAGTTTTCGTTTGACTGCACGAACACGGTCGTGACATGGCAAGGGATATACGCCAGACCAATCACATTGCAAGAGAATTTACTCTCCATCCAATCAAATGCCCGAAAAGACGGGATGAATACGGAGCAGCCTCTGCAAGCCAATGTCAATGCAATGCGAGGCCAATTAATTTTGGCGACAAAAAATTAAAATAACCAAATCAAATTTCTAGAAAACATCACGGTCACGGCAAGGCATATTTACGCCATTATCGTTATGTACAGATAAGTTTTAATGATTGCATTGATTTTACTCATATTCTAGATGGAATTTTTCTCGATGGGGCCTGGATCGGAATGAATGATCTAACGAAGGAAAGAACATTGCAGTGGACAGATGGAACACCGCTGACCTATAAGAATCCCGTTCTTTACCTAAATCTCAAGGGGAGAGACTGTGCTGTGATGAAGAAAAGTATATGGAGAATGGAACACTGTAACGGAAATGCGTTTTTCATCTGTGAGAAAAAGTAACGCGTTCCGAAGATAAAGAAAGAGCTCCAAAATTATATATGGAATATTTCCGGGACCAACTGCTCACAAGTACTGCTAGGATTAAAAAAAAAATCCTTGTCGTTTTTGTAGAAATAATATAAAATGTGGGTTTTATAATTTTAAAAACGTAGCGTCCACACCTATATATATGTTTGCCTTATACTTTGAATTTTACACAATACTATTTCGCACACTATACAGATCAGTCTTTGCCTTGGACCGGTAATGTTTTCCCATTTCACACTATGCGTCATTAAATTGCGAATAAGATCTTTTGTTTGAATAAATAAAATGCCTCTTTCACACTATTATGCATATATATGTTCTATTCTGAATATAAACTAAATCCGAAGCACTTAGTCTTACCTTTCCTTTTGACGATTTTGTACGAGGGATTCTGACCAAATTGCCCCCCCCCCCCCAGATCGTCTTCTAGCAAGCGTCAAGTCTCGTCAAATCCCAATATTTCGAAAACAATAATATTTGACTGGTTATTGTTATCCAAGTTGCCAAAATTGATCCTTTTAAAACGTTCATGGATATCGTTCGCGCGCATCCTTTCTACACATGATTTTAGTGCGCGTGCTCATCTTGATGAATATGAAAGTAAGTAAAGCTTTCCATGTTTGCGATTGTTTGCGCGTTTTTTACAGTAAAAGGGGTGAACGCATTCTGACAGCTAAACGAAGTCGGGGACCTCCATTTTTTTATTTGCTTATTTTTGTTCTAATATGATGTTCTCTCGTCGTGCAAAATTTAAAAAAAATCTGATGGGGTCTTTTGCCCATAAATGTCCTTCAGTTAAAGGTGACTGCCTACTATTAAACAATCAATTTGAGTCCACGTAAGATTACGTACGTTAAAAAAAATGCTCAAAACCGCTGAATGACCTTGAGGAATCATACACGTTTTCAATTTCAACATAGCAAAACCCAAAAAATTTAAACGGTACTCTATATTTTTCTATGGATTTCCTAACACAAAATGCTGAATTTTGAGCTTATTTTTAAACTTTATTTAAATATTTGAAGTTGCGTATTTCCTATTTATCTGTTTTTGTTTTAGACAGCACCATGTGCTTCAACCGGCTTTGCCCGTTTTTATTCTCGACTGAAGACCCCTTGCATTGATTTTCTAGAGGAATTGTTCCGGGGGACAAAACAATCTAGTCGAATGTGATTTGCATGAGAAAGAATTCAGTGTAAAAAGACCATTGTTGTGCCTCCTATCATGGTGCAAAGCCTCTATTCAAATGACCTTATATTCTTTTGTTTAGTATTGTCATTCATAGATAGTATTAAGGATCGCATTATAATATCAATTATATTCTAGACAGAGTTTTTGTCGACGGGACCTGGATCGGGTTGAATGATCTAACGAAGGAAAAAACACCACAGTGGATAGATGGAGTACCGCTGACCTATAAGAATCCTACTTTCGTGTTCAATCTCAAGGAGAGAGACTGTGGTATGATGGAGAAAAGTATGTGGAGAATGGAACACTGTAACGCAAATGCTTTTTTCATTTGAGAGAAAAAGTAACCGTTCCTATGACCAATAAAAGATCTACTGTTTTACGGTTATGACATCTGCTTAGTCTGCATGCATCTGGTCTTTTCTTGACAGAGAAAAGACCGGATGCACGCAGACTAGAACTGCTAAGTCTAAAAAAAACCTTTTGGGACCCGGAAGTAATTTTTCCATACGATTGACTTCACACGTTAGAGGGACACTAGTTGTACAATATGAAATGTATCTCACATTTCCAACTTTTTTTTTGTTTAATAATAATATAATAGAACATGGGTTATAGGATAGACCTTTTACGAGTTGTAAATCACCGCTGTGTTCCTATATTGCAGACTCATTTACTCAGGCTTAGTCTCGTATCAGTGTCTAAATATTCACAAATACCAACGTTAGAGTAAAGAATGCACAACTTCAACAATACAAACACTTCACGGAGCTTCACTGGAACACATGAATATTCTACACAAAACCCAGGCTATAGCGAACCCTGAGCAACAGAGAACTCGAAACTGGAGTATTTTAGAAAGGGAGCGTCGCTACATGTGTATCTGTGTGCCTTATACTTCGACTTTTACACAATGCTATTTTGCACACTATAGATCTTTTTACCTTGGAAATGGTAATGTTTCCCATTTCGTGTCATTCCCTTGTGAATAAGATCCCATGCGTCTTCTCGTGCGCAACCTTTACCAAAGAAACGATACCCTTGGGAATGACAAGGGGGTCTGAAATGGGAAAACATTACGCCCAAAATAGAGATCTACACAGTCCTAATCTAATAGGTTGGATAGATATATAATAACGAAAACCTTGGTGTGGTTTAATTTGACAACATTAAATACAAAATATACAAGACATCGTGCTATTCTGAGCTGATAAACGTTGCGTACACGATCTAGTAGGCATAAAGATAAATATGACTTTTAAATATATTATTACCTCGATTATTTACTAACGAATAACAATTTGTCGTCATGGAAACTGTAAAACTATTGATATCACAAATAAATAGCACTGATCAATATTTAATCATTTTGTGTTAAAAAAAATTGCCACGAAGATCAAAGGGACCCTTTGTATGGTCAAATGCGATGAATATAAGACGTATATATCATTCGTTGAAATGGATACAATAAAACCAAAGGGTTCCCTCTCACTCAAAAGGGTTCGAAGATAAATACAGCTTAATAAATATGGTCCGTTTAAGACGCGATTACACGGAACAATTTTCTCTGCAACTTGTCTCGCAACGGCGTTGCAACACAAGTTGAATGGAGCATTGCATCGTGAAACCTACAGCTCAATAAAAAAATGAGGAAAACAAAAATGGTTCGAGAGAAGTTGCATCAGTCGTTGCGAAAAGTGCAATTTGTTTTTACTTTTGGCAACGATTGCGCATCCGTTGCACCGTGTAAACACTCTTGCAACTTGTGTCGCAACGCTGTTGCAAGGAGACAAGCTGTAGAGAAAATTGCTCCGTGTAATCGCACCTTTAGGATAGCTTTGAATGTTTTGTTCCTTGAATGTTGTATAAACACGACAACTGAGTTCAGGGCTGAAAAATACCTTGGTCATCGCTTGTGTATAACAACCTGAAATAATGACAATGATGAAAATCTATACTCTGAATAAAGATCGAGAAGATCCAGTTTGAATAAGGCGACTTATACCTGATAGATTTTAAAAGTATCGCATGCCCAGGAGCTTGTGATTTACACCTCTCCTTTTCTCATCCTCGCGACCCCAGGGTAAAATTCGGGCGGCAGAATTTTACCACTGGTTCCCGAAGATGCCCTTTTCCGAACCTGGCTGACTTAAAACCATCTTTTTTATCTCCCTTTATAGTCTCCCCTATATTCATGTTCATATTACCCTGAAATACATGCTTTTCTTACCCTGGYCGACTGTGCTCTTCGTGTATAGGATGGCGGGGGTTTACCCGAGACACGAACGGATGCGGCTCCGCCGATCGGTTGTGCTAGAATTAACGAATAGTAATAGAAAATTCACTAGGTAAATTTAAAAAAATGGGAATAAGTGCAAGAGAGATTTTAAAGTGCTTGTAAGCCTTTACACAATATTTTCAGAATTGATTCTTTAGATAGTGAATAGCTGATTGTGAAAATATTTCGTCATTTGAATGTCGGGTCTTTGAGATACGAAGGTTTATATTCCCAATATGTTAATGACTGTGACGTAACATAAGGGATCATTTAATATACAACACTGCACTCGTTCTGGATTACAGTATTTTAAAAGCATCACCCTTTTACTCGTGACTCATGTAAAAGGTTGTTACAAATTTCTTTTCAAAAAATGTCCAGCGTTCAATATTAAAAGTTGCCAAAAATTAAATCAAATCCCTTATGTTACGTCATAGTCATTAACATATTGGAAATATAAACCTTCGTATCTCAAAGACCCGACATTCAAATGACGAATTATTTTCACAATCAACTATTCACTATTTAAAGAATCAATTCTGAAAATATTGTGTAAAGGCTTATAAGCACTTTAAGGTGGCTGACTACTTTTCAACATTCGAGTTGAGTCCACGATGTGCCTGCGCTCAGCTAAAACCGCTGAATAATCTTCACGATTTTATTGAAGAACCATACACGTTTTGAACCTCAAAAGGGCAAAACCCTCTAATTTTGCACGGGACTCTATATATTTTTTGTTATTTTCCGGAATAAATATAGTGTAAGTTACGTGTTCGGAGAAAATTACTCATGTTTCTTCCTTAGTTTCGGTTTTATGTTGGTTTTTTTTTTTTGTACAGAGCTTGATTTTCGCAATTTTTCTTCCAAAATTGCACAAACGCATGTCATTCCGGAGTGATTATCTCAAAAACAAGCTCGGGACACCCCTTTTTTCTTTGCGTTTTTGAAATCAGCGTTAAATTTCAGGTTAATAAATTTTCACTTTTCACTTTTCTGTTTATTAATTACCAAAGTAATCAACCACCTTAAGGCGCGATTACACGGAGTAATTTCCTCTGCAACTTGTCGCCCAACAGCGTTGCGTCACAAGTTGTATGGAGCATTGCAGCGTGTAACCTACAGCGCAATTTGAAAAAATGTTGCGTGACAAGTTGAAGCAATCGTTGCCAAAAGTAGAATTCGTGTGTAATCGTGCTTTTATAAGACACGAGAACCTTATATTCTACACTCGGTTCTTCTTGTCTGGACCCTTAGTTTTTTTCTTTCCTCACCTGGTACTCGAGGTCGACTCCTTGTTGGACTCATCAGCCTGTTAGAAATAAAACAAGATTTCAATAGACATCAGGCAACGTGCACCAAAGCTAACAAAGCACTCCGAGAAATCGAGGACTCTAAGATAATTCATCAGGAAAAAAAATTAAGCTGTTCTTTTCGTCTTTCAAAATACTCAGAAAATGTCAAAGGAAAAATTGTGAGATGAACTTTTAGAGCAGAAAAAGCGTATACTCGGTTTTCTCGTCATGCTTTGGGCTAGAGAGTACTATTTAGAAATTGTACTGTTTTAAGCCGCATAGAGTGTTTGATACAAAGGGAGGGAGGGAGGGAGGGAGGGAG